CCAAAGCTATTTGTAAAACAATTACAGCTAATATATCTCGCAATGAATAGTGGAATTATTATAACAAAAAGACTTACGCCTAATTCGGAATCTGCTCGTCGTCTATCTCTGTCTCGAATACGTTCCTCAACTAATTCGATTAATGGCTGGATATTGTAAAATTCTGCTTCTTCTAATACGCCTTCTTCAACTAAGTTAGTTTCTAAAATCAGCTTGCCATGTCTTAAATAATTCAGTATTATGTGAAAATAATTTGAATCACGATCGATCATGTAGACTCCCGTTTCATCTGTACAGCAAAGTGGTACTTTTCTAATTGCGGTGTCTCTATGCAAGATTGCTGGTAGGAAATAATAAAGAAACAACTATTTCCTCTTAAGATGCTGGAAAAACCCTCTATTGAACTAGGTTCGATGCACCTAAAACATCGTACAAATATAAGATAACCTAACGAGTGAGTGAAAAGAATGAAATGTATGCTATGAGTACCCTCGACTGGTTGCTATGCCGTTGCTATGACTCATTTGGCTTTCGCCAGCCCAGCAATTATCGCTTGAGTATCGTAATCCTGATATACTTCTAGTATGTCAGAAGGTGCTATGATTATACTCTCTGAAAGTTTTTAAAAAGTTTTTGCGAGAGTCCTAAACTACTGCGTCTTCAAGAGGGATGCTGCGGTAGACTGATATCGAGCATTTTTTTCGTTAAAACATCTTGAAGTGAATTGAAGTCTTTACGTTTTGAAATTCGCTCCCATTCTACAGAGAATTTCAGATATTTGAATTCCGAAACTGGTTATTTTGGCATTTTTAGCTTGAAATCAGTAGTAAAAGATAACGCTCACGTTTTGCCGGGCTTCAGCCATTATCATGGATTGAGATATTCAGTTCAATTTAAAACCAACCCGATCTTCATAGCTATTATCAAACGCGAGAAAAATGTACAGTGTTGAATGCCTCATTTTGTATTATTTATTACTGTTGAATAGCTTAACGTTCTGAAGTAAAATTATCATCTTAATATATTCCTATAACAGTTTTGAGAGAGTCTTTAAATTTTTTTCGAATGGAATGGAAGGTGTAAGAAAAAAATTTTTTTTGGCCAGAAAATCCTTAAAGAACGCATTTGTTTTCTGCTGTCATATGAAACGTCATCGTTAAGAAATACAATCCTAACATGAGGTTGCATTATTTTTCGCCTAATGCAAGAAGGGTTTCAAAGATCGATTCTGTAAAAGCGTAAATGTTTTACGAATAAAAGTATTTTACAAGGAATGTTCTCTGTTTATTTATCTCATCGAATTATAGCAGTAAAATATGGTTATCAGCAAGAAACAAATCTGACTTTACTTTATATTTTCTTACGCAAGAGAATATTTTCTCGCTATCGCACGCAGCACAACGAATGCCTCAAATTTCCTAATACTCTTACGATATGAGACACGTGCACAGCGTATGGCTTAAAATAATAAAACGCTCAAGTTTTTTTAATTTTGTTGCGCAGTAGTCACTGATAATATGCAGAAGTATACTCGGCAGAGTCATGAGAATCAGTATCATCGAGCCTAATCAGATTTGGTTCCCTAAAGCTCAATCTCAATAGGTTTCTCGTAGTAGAAATAGGAAAGATGTGTTTAGAATAAAATCAGCATAACAGTTTAGCACAAGATTTGTTTTCTAAAAATTGTAAACCTAAAGAATTTAAGGAACGTAATCACATTTTCTATCATAAGTCCTGTATTTCCGTTCGTGATGTATTTTGTAATGTGCAGCTAATTCAAAATTGCAGTAAACAATTTTTCTGACTTTATTATACATACTGAAAGATGTTAAGATGCAGCTAATTCAAAATTGCAGTAAAATACGCAAGAGTCATACGCAAAAAGAATCGCCCTGAAGCAAGCTTTAAAAGTAAAAGTGCCGATTTGTGAAATTCACCTTCCTTGCGGAGAAAAACGACTTTCTCTGGAACGAGGCGAAAAACGGGTAGGCCATTTTCAACTAAGTCTCGATTTTTTCGTCCAAATTTAATGAAAATGGCGTCAAATAGGCTAAAAACGATGGCTAATTCAACGAAAACATTTTTAACATTTTCAAAGACCATCCAGAGGGTTTTTCAGAGACCGGATCTCCAGAAAATCTTCTCAACAACCAGACTTTTTGAAAATGGTCTAGAATCATAGCGAATTGAATTTTGAACAAAGTGAGACGTTTTCGAACCTTCTGCGACTTCTCGGTCGAGAGAAATGTCCGTTTTTTGGTTTCGTTCTAGACCATTTTCAAAAAGTCTGATTGTTGAGAAGATTTTCTGGAGATCCGGTCTCTGAAAAACCCTCTAGATGGTTTTTGGAAATGTTAAAAATGTTTTCGTTGAATTAGCCATCGTTTTTAGCCTATTTGACGCCATTTTCATTAAATTTGGACGAAAAAATCGAGACTTAGTTGAAAATGGCCTACCCGTTTTTCGCCTCGTTCCAGAGAAAGTCATTTTTCTCCGCAAGGAAGATGAATTTCACAAATCGGCACTTTTACTTTTAAAGCTTGCTTCAGGGCGATTCTTTTTGCGTATGACTCTTGCGTATTTTACTGCAATTTTGAATTAGCTGCATCTTAACACCTTTCGGAATAGCGTATCATCCTTTAATTCTCTTATAGTTCCTTCCTTCACGTGTTGTGTCTTCATACCTCATTACGCATGTCAGATCTTTTGACATAGAAGAGTCAGACTACTTATATTGTATAGCTTGTTTATATTCGAGACATACATCAATTATAGAATGTGACTAAAAATTAGGTCAATGAAAATTGATAAAACGATGAGCAATTTATTGGAGTAGCTGTGAAGGTGTTCCGAAACAGACTCTTAGCTATAGTTATGCGTGGGTGACGCCTTATTTAGAGCGATTTCTCAATTAAAAAAAATAGCATCAATAGTTGTCTGATTAACTGTAATGCACAATCCATTGCATACTAATATCGCTGCATCGTCGACAAAGTAATAGGCATAATGCTATTCATGTGTGACAATTTATTCTTATTTTGACTCTTCTTATCTTTTGAAATTACCGAAAAATATTGATAGATGTTAGAATCCATAATATGGTCATAAACGAAAAATAAGAAAAGAAAAGTGATAGTACATACAAGACGTTATTCATTTTCGCTTTTATTTTTAGCTGCGCAAAACTATACATACGTGAAGCTCCGTAAGCATCATCCTCCGAAAAAACCACATTATGAGAGTCGTACATCATCATTTGCTCTTTAGATAGGAATGTTCTGATTCTGCTCTCTCTTTCTTTTCTTTTTTTCTAAATAAAAACAGCGTAAATACCCATACACACATATACATATATATTCAAGATTTATAATATCGTTCGAAAACACATTCATTTACAAAACAAAAACAAATTATTATAGCCACTACCATCACACATTTGTTGTTATCGGCTTTAGTCTATTTATATTTCACTAAAATATCTGCGTAACGCAAATGACAGACCACTTCTTTGAGGGTGCAGAAAAATTATTAGAAATCTGGTTCGGTACAAGTAGTGAAAATAAATTAACAGCAAGAAATGATCTAAGACACATACCACGGTAAGTTTATTGATGTACGTTGGTGAAAATTCAATTCAATCGTTGAATCAAAATTGTTCGATTCCGCTTTTCAAAATTTACTCATTTGAAAGATTTGCTCTGTAGAGTACGGCTGGATATCTAGGATCTTATCACAAAAATCGACATCAACAGATTTCTGCTTTAGTACATGCTCGGTCAAATTTTAGAATAAGACAACTTGTATCATCAGACTCTGCGAGAGAAATCTTAGATTATCATTCACTAATCCAAAAGTCGACCCCCGTGCCTGTTACATTTATACCAATATCTCACGAATCGTGCGTACAATTTCAACGTAATTTTTCAAAAAACATATGCAAAAGAAATATGCTACTATGATTCGTTTATTACCTAAGTTTTTATAATATGCTTTTGTTTAAGTTCACTTAGACTAAGATCAATTGAAGTCATTGATCTAAGATTTTTTGTGATATACCTCTGACTCACATGATTAGTGTACATTTTCAGCTTTTGTCGTATGTTTTCTATATCTTAAGATAATCATTTTTTTTTTAAATTATTATACGTAAACTAATTTCTTTTCTTTATTTAGCGATGTTTTCGAAGACGTATTAAATCTGGTTAATTGCAAAGTATTAAAATACGCGCAATCAAAAGACATTGATACATATGTACTTAGTGAGAGTAGTGCATTCGTGTTCAAAACTCATATTATTTTAAAAACCTGTGGAGCAACAACTCTTCTAGCTGCTGTTCAACCGTTAATAAGTTTGGCTCATGAATATGCTGGTTTTGATACAGTTGATGTATGTCTGCTTGATATGCTTCATTCTACGCTGAATGAATTTTGTTTTTAGCAAATATTTTATAGTCGACGAAAATTTTTACGGCCCGATCTTCAAAAAGATCCACATACAAATTTTGAACATGAAGTTTCGTATCTTAATTCTCTATGTGGAGGTTAGTTTTTGTCTTTTAAACATGCACAATGTCACTTTTATCATTTTGCCTGTTTAGAAGGTTGCTCCTATGTCTTAGGTCGTACAAATCTTGATTGCTGGTAAGTTGAATCAATTTTGTTTTTCGTAATAAGCTTGTATTAGACTGGAGAAAAACAAAGCATGATGATGGTAGTAGAAGAAACTGAGTTCGTTTCGCTTTCTACATGGTAAAACAAAATCTTTTTTTGTGATTTTATTCTATTTATAGCCATAAAAAGGGCTATGACTCCACTGCTCTCTATTAAAATATTAATACTTAATTTTGTTTGTTAGCTTCGGCTAAATACATCATGAATTCGAAAATATGTGTTTTTACATACAAAATTTACTTGAATCTACATTTACTGTATTGCATACATATACACTACACGTTTATCGCCAAGGAATTCACATTCATATAGAACAGGGTAAGAGATGATCAGGTAAGCATTGTTTCATGTGTAGGGCCTGTTCATGAACTCTGGCAGCTGTAAAAGCTAGTCGGGAGAACAGCCATAAAAGCTGTTTAAACCTAGGCTGCTGTTAAGGCTCGCTTAGGGGTAGTGGCGGTCTTTGTTTGTTTTTGATCAATGATTTTTTTCATCTTTATCTATCTTTTTTTCTGCCTTGTGACAGACATTTTTCTGATTCATTCTTCCTACAAAAATAATTACATTTTCCTTTGAGTACAATCGTCATTCGAATTTAATTGTAGTATTTTACAAAATACATCATCTAACTGTATTCAAACAGTGTTGATATGCTTACTAGCTTAAATATAATTTTTGACGCTTATTCGACGTTCATCAGGCAAGCAGTAACATTTTTGAACTGAAAATGAATTTTTTAAGGATCCGTCCTCCCTCCCTTAGAAATGATGATTCTCGGTCAAAAAATCGATTTTGAGACACACATGGAAAGATAGTCTAAAGTGTCTACTTTCAGAATCTATATCCCAGAAGTGATTTTTCGTAGCTTTCAAGCAAGTTTTCTAGGAGCCTCGGAAAACAGGATCTTCATATAATAGTTTTTCCCTGAATACTTCTGCAATTAAAATGCACTTTTTTCAATAATGATTCATCGTAGAGAGACTTTCTTTTTTTTAATCGAAAGAGTGAAGAGTTCTATGTGAACTAATCGAAGCCAGTTTTTCAATTAGACTTTAGTTGTTTAGAAGGGTCTCTAGAAAACTTAAAAGGGGGCTTTGAGGTTGTTGGATCTCTAGAAAACAAACAAAGGCTTGATTGAAAAATCGACGCCGGTCAGCCCGTGTAGTTAGGTGTCCAGTTTAAAATAAAACAAATCCGAACTCTCCAGGTTGAAGTATATTAAAAATCTTGGGAAATACTTCAGGATCCTTTTTAGACCTTGATCTCTGGAAAACTCCTAACCGGCAAGACTTGAAGACAAAAAAGTTTTCATTCTCATAACTCACTGCCACTAACATTTGTGGAGAGTTTCATCAAAATCGGATGTACTGTATCAGAGATAATTTCTGAGTGATCTCTTAATGAGGTTAATACCAGTTGAAATGATCAATTAATTAGATGACAAGATTGATGTATCTACCTAATTAATGTCCTCTCTTTCATATAGCTAGAATGAGATATAAACTATGTTTTGTGTTTTACAATTATCTACATATTGACGAAACATTAACGTAATTAGAAGATTTATTCAATTTTTCGAAAGTGTTGCATGATTTTTTTACTCAGTTTTGACAAGTCCTATTTGCTTGTGCTTGCGAGTTATATATAATTCATGACTTGTTTCAAACTGAACTTCACAATTCTCCCTGCTTGTATAGAGGCCAAAGGCACACTTAATCCTCTCTTTTTGTTGATTGTTCACGTCAAAGACCTTGTGCCTCATGTCAAAGAAAAGTTAGCTTACATTTCAATAGCGACAGTGCCCCTGTTACTTAAAGTTTGCTTTATTGAAAGAATCTGTATTCAAATCATTTATACCTGTATTAATATGCCCATGGTATTAAATTTGGACCGTACAGCTACTGTACAATGATTGTAGAAAACAGGATAAAGAATTACGACTATCATAAATAAAGAAGAAACAAATGTGATGATTTTTATAGGCTTCCTTTATGTTCTAATTTTCTTTGCCACATTATTTTTTCTCTTTGCATGCTATACTATTGATTAGCTTAGTTTTTGTAGAAAAATAATTCTTTAGGTTTCTAATCTATGCATAAATTCACTATATTTCAGGTATTTGTATACTCTTGATAAATCTTGCGGGAGTAAGAGGTCAGATCAAACATTAGAAGTAATAATGACGGATCTTGATCCAGAAATTATGAAAATATTTTATCAAGATAATACAACTTCAGCAGCCGATGCCACGGAGGTTTGTTTATTATCGTCTGCAGTTAGTTGTTAGTTGTCTCGATGATATTGTAAGCTACTTGAAAAGTATGATCTTTAAAGAGTCGTTATGCCCTTTATTGTAGAAAGCCGGGATTGATAAAATATTTCCAGATGCTAAAATATATGATTATTTATTTGAACCATGTACGTGTTTCTTTCTTGATTGTCTGTCTTTTTTCTTAATGTTAATCTTTTTTTTCTGACTAGGTGGCTATTCGATGAACGGTCTGATGTCGGATGATCATTATTTTACCATTCATGTAACACCAGAACCAGATTTCTCCTATGTTAGCTTTGAAACAAATGTACCATATTCGTTGTTCGATGGTCTAATTCGAAAAGTAGTCGAACTATTTAATCCTGGTAAATTTGTGACAACAATTTTTCGTTCTTCGGTACGTACTGTATTCGTTGAGTAACTACAACATGATTTTCTTAAAATGTCCAAATCTTTTGTTTGTTTAGACTTTAAATAGTTTGGATACAAATCGTAAATATTTTCATTATACCAATTATAGCCGTGTTGATCATCACATTATCTGTTTAACCGATCATGATCTTCTGTATAGCTATTATAAAAAAACCTTGCGCTAGGGATTATTGCAGCAGCAATTGTCGAATATTTTTTGTAAATATCAGACAATGGGTGCTGTTGCAAACAAAAGGTTTTGTTTTTATTCGCATCATTCACTACCATTATTGAAGTTGCCTATAAAAATCATGTTCATATTTTATGTACATTACAAAAGATTGAAGAACAAAATAAATACATCTTTAATCACAATTATGGTAAATGTAGATAATACAAGATAACATAAAGCACTTTGTGCATCCTTTGACTATAGCTTGGATTACAAGAAAAAAGATATTCAAATAGAATTAGTTAATAATTGTTCGCATAGTAAAAGAGTCGCATAGTAAAAGTTATGATATAAGAAAACAATTTCTATCACCACCCATAGTATAAATACATTTGCACCGATTGTTTATAACACTTGAGACTGTATACACCGAGCTATCAAAAATTTCATTGATTTACGATCGTTACAGAAGGTCATCTTTCCTGTAACTAATCAAGTTTTGACGCTTGGAGAGAGACAAATCCGTCACAATTGTTCATACTTCATACGAGTTTATATGCAGTTGGGACAAAGAAAGTGGATCTTGACCATAAGGATACTGTATCACACTATCTTGTTGTATTGAAAAATCAATTGTTACTATTATTGCTGCTGTTGTTATAGATAATATTGATAATACACATCTACTTTCTACTTCATGTATTTGATTAACACCAAAAGTTGATGTTGATGGTTCCATATCAGCTTCATGTATTGAGCAGTGTCTAACTAATGATCTTCGAATTTCGACAACAGTAAAGTTTAGTGGATACTTTTTAAATGATTTTATATAACAAAAGGTTTTCAAAAGAATTCTAGAAAAGCAGTTTTCCAAAATCCTTTGGAAATCCTCTACAGATCTTGACATATTTCCATTGAATTCTACAATGTTTTCACCTGTACAGATAGTTTTTAATTGATTTAGGGGCAAAAATGATAGATTGAGCATTAGAGACCTTGCCCTTTTGAGACAAAAGTGTCTTTTTTATATAAAAGGTGAAGTTCCTCAGCAACGAAACAAAATTAAAAATTAAGCGGTACATATTTTTGTTGCTCGGACTTCGACGATTACAACCGTATGAAAACAAAGGCTTCACCTATCGATAGAAAAAACTAGATAGATGCACAAAATGCTTCAGGATCATTTCAAAGGAGCCATCCCGTTCAACCAGACTCAATCCATTTTTGACTCTTTGATCGTTCAAACATCATTTTCTTGCACAGTTTAGAGGGTGGGAAAGCATTACTTCACCACTTCCACTTAACCTGAAGTGATTTTGAAGGGTTTGGACCTCTGTGAAGTGAAGTAGTGTTTTTACCCCCTTGCATAAACCACAGCTCAGTAGGTTGTTTCGTTCGCGAGAAAATCGGCCCTAAAAGAAATAGGGTTTTCAGAAATTCTTGATCTCGATTTTCTCGATATTTGGGATACTATTAGAACTAGTTGAGATGTCTCTAGAAAAAAAGCTTTTTAGAGTCATGGCAAAGTTGCGAATTTGAACAGGTCACGAATGCTATAAAACAACGGAAAATCCTAAGGAATCTGATGATAGCTGAAATTGTACAATAATTACAGCTGATTTTAATGATTTACGCATTTCTTTGTGATATTTCGAGCTTAAACGGCCATTCTCAAACTTTATGATTACAACAGTAACAGTAATTAAAGGACCGGTATTAGGTATTAGGTCCTTTAATTACTGTTACTGTTATAATCATAAAGTTTGAAAATGGTCGTTTAAGGTCGAAATATCACAAAGAAATACTTAAATCATTAAAACCAACTGTAATTATTGTACAATTTTGTCAAAAATCATTGCTCTTAAAACGTCAAAACGGTGACAGCTGAAATAGTACAAACTAGTAGAAGACTTATAAGAAACTGATAGAAAGATTCGTTTTTGCATATTGACGATTCTTCTCCCGTAGTAGTCACTTGGAAAGCTTTACTCTCATAGTGTCACTAGATTTTATAATCGATAGGAATAAAACACTAGTATATATATATGCTTTCAAAAAACAAAAATATTATAACAAATTTTTATTACATTTTAGAAATGTCAACACATACAGTTGGAGAAGAGTTGTTGGAGAAGAGAGTTTCGATCGATGCTGCCTCATGATGAAACTACTCTACAAAAATGTACTCTCAATAGGATGGCTGGTACTTCCATAGTCAATTTAGCCAAATTTTGAAACATATTTTGTTTTATCAATATAACATTACTGTCTATACTTTCTTCTTTCATGATAGTATAGACTAAACTTAAAACTAATTAAAAAAAGAAACTAAATTCGAGTGCTTTTTCGTTTTTTCTCTGCTCCGTATCGTTTCATTTGTTTAACTGGATACAGTTATGTGGTCTGTTAACTTTGCTTAATACTTCATTAATATGCGTAAACTCAGGTCCCGAAAAAACATCTTTCATGATTTCCTATTCACTTTGCAGGTTTTGACCGTTTGATGCGTTTTGTTAGTTGAGTATAGTTTGAAGAAAAAATGTTGGGAAAGTTCAGAGACATTTGTTCAATATGATGAAACTGCTTGCAAAAAGTTTCTCAGTCGAATTAGGAACTAAGTTTTTTAAGGTTCTGTTTTTTTTAGAGACGCAGATTACAAGCAGTTCTAATGGATCTTTATACGCACCACATCAGATTGGAAACTCTTTCAACTACTCAAATCATTCTTGAGATTTGTTCGAGTTATTATAATCGATGAGAAAAATCGGAAACTAAGATGGATGAATAAGCTTGTGAGCCACTATATTTTAAATATGTTGATTTATAGTTTTTTTACTCTTACGACCTGAAGAAAAGTGGTTTGACGAACTTCAGTATTGGATCAAAGTTTTTCGAAGAAGCTCCCACTAGTAACTTTTCATCCCATTAATCTTTTAACATAATTTATATTAAAAAACGTTACAAATAACAAAATATGAACTACTAAATATTCATTCTACATCTACAATACTTGAAAGAAGCAATAAAATATCAGATTCTCATAATAAATGATTCTGATGATAAATTCAAATTCTATCATTACTTTCTCTAATTTATAATGTTTTCATTATCAAAAAGTTGTGATCTTTTGTAAGAATCGTTGTTTATCTCAGCTCAGATTGATCCTTTAATAAACGTCTTTCTAAACAGAATACGAACACTTTTTATTGTTTTTCTTAAAAATGAAACTCGAACTTACGCTTTCCGGCACTTATATCCCGCCTACAAAGAATAAAACCTAAGATAAACACAAATACAATAGATGCACAACCAATAATAAGTAATAACGATGCTTTTTCAAACCCTAAAATAAAAAATAGATATAAAATGTGAACTAATAGTAAAAGGATATCCTTTGTGAAAAAAACTATATGTTAATAAGTAGAATTATAAGCTATACTCTAAAAGAAGGTGTTTTAATGAACATTTTAGGTGTTTATGGGGGTGTCACCGTACAGAATCATTTGAGGTTAAGTAAACGGAGGGTTATTATGTTGATAAACTCTCTTTCCATGATGAGGTTTTTATTTTAATAAATTTTTTCCTCGTCTAATAAACCCAAAAAAGATTTTGCATGCTGACATTTTTCTAAACCTCTAGAAAATTTATCAGAAGGTTTATTAAATCTAATAATTGCCTGTTAAAGTCATTCTCTATACAGTACGTGAATGACGATGGAGAAGAAAAAATGTGCGATACACGTCTCATTGAGAATCAAAGTGTGAAAAATGTCCGATTTTTTTGAGAAAACGTTTCTGTTGTTTAGAAGTGTACGCTACTCTGATCTCGTTGCCATTCAACTACAGTATTTTTCGAAAAAGCGACATATAATAGAAAGGTACAAGACAGTTTTTCATTAGAGGCATACTGAATTTTATCATTCAGAAGTATCTCAAAACACGAATCAAAGTAATTTATTTGTTCAAAATATAGTAATTCACAGAGAGGATTGACTTCATAGTTAAAATAGTCAAACTTCATTTATCTTTTGATAACAAAATAGAAAATAATTATTCAGAAAACTGAAAAGAATTTTTACTATGCTGTTACGTTTTTTTAAACTGTCTGATAAACTTAATACATCATTTTTCAAAACTCTTACGATTTTTCATTCAGCATTAAATCTTCATAATCATGAGAATATGCCAAAATACGCCACGCCACAGTTCTTGTTGTTTTTATTAGACCTTCAGGATTTTTTACTAAAGTCAAAACAGCTTTTTCATTTTCGTTGAACCTTTTTTTTAAAAAACATCCCAAACATTATGTTAATTAAATCGTATCGGTTTATCAAAACCTATGAGCTTAATAATCAACTCGATGGGTTGTATGAGCAGAATAATAAACTTTTAAAGTTTAGTTAACGAAGACTCCTTCTGTTTTGAAAATACTCCTTCACTTTAAAAAAATCCTTTGTCTACGAGACCCTAAAGTTTAGTAACTTTTGAAAATCTTTTTGAGGTTTAGGAAAATGGCTAACAAACATTTCTGGGTTCATTATAAAAGTTCAGGACGCATTATAATTTCT